TGGAAAATGGAAAACCTGCATGGTCAAACAATATGAATACATTTTGTATACCAGAAAAGTAGCAATAATAATTATACTTATATGATATCTTATGTCCTGTAATGCAGCTTTGTATTAACAGGATCTTCCTCTTTTTTTTTTTTTACAGAAAATATTTTAAAGATAACCATCAGAAACATGTTACAATAACATTTTTTAAACATACTTAACAAGACATATCTTTTTTATAAGGCTATGAAAATTATTTTGGTGGCTCCCATTAGTGAACAAAGATCAGAATAAATTTTCTGAGCAGCTGCTTCTTTATTCACCAACAGGAGCGTATCCAAACTTGAAGGTTGTATTTAAATATCTTTTAAATTTTTTATTTGGTCCTATAAAGCCAGGTTGTAGAAATCAATAATCTACTTGCATTTGACATCATTCTGATCAAAAACATACAAACATTTTTGAACATTTAAGACAGACAAACATATAAGACAATTTTAACGAGTGCACTCAGATGGTTTTGGCCAATTGAATTATAAAATCTTTTTGTTATGACTAGTCAAAATTTTTGCAGATCAAAATTAACAGATCTCTTGTAGAATTAGGATTAAATGAATGAAAACTCTTGACTGTAAATGTAAACCTTTTATAACAAACTTGAAACCAACAAGCAAGCATAAATAAATGATTTCCACACATCTCTATATACTTAGGCCTTCTGGTCTTGTATATCTTCCTTTACCTGTTTTTAACAAGATGCAAAAGTATAACTCTTATAGCTTTTCTAATATTTTTCTGTCTCATTTACTATTAAACAAACTTCAGTTTAAAGTGTCCTTTTTCTGTTTTCATACTATGATTGCTTTTTCTTCAGGATTACTCGAAGTGGGTTAGTCGTTTGTATGCTTTCCCACATTGAATCCTCTGTAGATGCGACTTGTCTGACCAGTCGTTCAGGTATCCAGACAGGATAGGGGCTATCTGTAGGGAGAATACATACAGAATCTCTTCCCCAGATTATAACAGGATCGGGTCCTTTCCATTGACCTGTAAGAACACTTTTCCAACGAACCTTGGCATAATTGGTGTTGGTTGTGGGATGCCAATGTCTGTCTGCAGCCGTCAGACCAGAGGCATCAAGAGTCAAAAAATTTAAAATGAATAAAACATGATTCAAGAGATTTTGAGGACTCTTGGGATACCATATTCCCCCTTTTATTTTTTTAAGGTAAGTTTTGATTGTAAAATGTGCTCTTTCTATTATATCTTGTCCTTGAGGATTATAAGGTATACCTGTAACATGATGAATGTTTAAAGACTGCAAGAATCGTGAGAATCCTTTACTAACATATCCAGGTCCATTATCAGTTTTGATCTGTTTTGGAATTCCTAACATTTTGAAGGCATATAGACAATGGCTTATGATATCCTTAGTAGCTTCACCCGCTCGTGGGGAGGCAACAAGAAACCCAGAAAATGTATCGATAATGACATGAACATATTGCAATTTTCCAAACTCTGGGAAATGGCTTACATCCATTTGCCATATCTGATTTGGGGTGATGCCTCTTGGATTAACTCCAAGATGAGGAACAGGGAGCAATAGACCACAAGAATGACAATTTTTAACAATCTCTCTAGCCTGTTCTCTGGTTATAGAAAACATTTTTGAAAGAGTGTTGGCATTAACGTGATGCAGCTGATGAAAACTTTTTGCTTGATGGACGGAGTCACTAACTAAATTGACAGAATAGTAATCTATTATACCCTTAGTGGCAAGATTGGCCAATTGATTACCTGAAGATAGAGGACCAGGAAGTCCAGAATGTGCTCGAATATGTCCAATAAAAAATGGTTGTTTTCGATTTTGAATCAATTTTTGTATCTCTAAAAATAGGGAATGGGCCGAGGATTGTTTATCAAGTTGTCCAGCTGTTTCCAAATAGGGAATTGAATGTACCAAATATTGGCTATCTGTATAAATATTGATTCTATTATCGGAAAATTTTTGACAAACTGCTAACATGGCACTGAGTTCCACCAATTGTGCAAAAGCATAATTAGTTTGAAATGTGGTGGACTGATCATTATGAAAAAAGGCAGCCATGCCATTAGAAGATCCATCAGTGAAAATCAAAAAAGCATCCTTTAAAGGTTGCGAACTGGTAACCTTTGGGAATATAAATGTCTGATTTTTAGCAAATTGAATAAGCTTATCACCAGGGTAATGATTGTCAATATCTCCTGAATACTGAATAAAAGCTAAAGGCCAAAAGTCTGTGGTCTGTAAGAGCCAACTGCATTGTTCTTTATCATAAGGAATTATTTTATGAGGTTCAAATCCAAAAGTACGTTTTGAAAATTTTCTAGCCTGCATAAAGTTTAGCAACTGCCTCATAGTAAGGCAGTATACTTTTGCCTGAGTTAGCAGGTAAATGGAGCCAATAGATGGGTGCGTTTTGCCATAACACACCTGTTGGTGTTCCTTGGGAAGGACAAACCACAAAGAGCAAAGGCCTAGAATAATCAATGTAGGAAATTTGTTGCTTTTCTATTGCCAATTGAACTGTCTGTAGGGCTTTCCTTGCTTCTATAGTGAGTTCTCGAGGGGAATTTGGAGAAGGATCTCCTATTAAAATATCAAACAATGGCTTTAATTCATGAGTAGATAATTTTAAGTAAGGACGTAGCCAATTAATATCTCCTAATAATTTTTGAAAGTCATTAAGGGTTTTTAAATGATTGGTTTTTAGAACTATCTTATTATGGGCTATATAACTATTATTTAATTGAAATCCTAAATAAGAATAGGGAAAATTCAATTGCACCTTATCAGGAGCTATGTGAAGGTTAGCGGCTTTAAGACTCAGCACAAGATCAGCATAACAAGAATATAATTCATCCTCATTTAAACAAGCTAACAATAGATCATCCATATAATGTAGGATTTGAACTGCGGGCCAATTTTTTCGAACCTCAGAAAGGGCTTTAGCTATGAAATATTGACATAAGGTAGGGCTATTGGCCATGCCCTGAGGTAATACTTTCCATTGATATCTTTTCATGGGCTGAGCCTGATTGATTTCTGGGAGACTAAAAGCAAAATACTGTTTATCCTCATGATGTAAGGGAATAGAGAAAAAACAATCCTTTAGGTCCACTACTATAATTTTGGATTCTTTGGCAATGGCTACCGGGGAGGGAAGGCCAGGCTGAAGAGCACCCATTACTATCATTCTTTTATTAACTTGTCTTAGATCTTGTAAAAGTCTCCATTTTCCAGATTTCTTTTTAATTACAAATATTGGGGAATTCCAAGGAGAGAATGAGACTTCTAAATGGCCAAGCTCAAGCTGCTCCTGTACTAAGCTATGAGCAGCCTGTAATTTTTCTTGGGAAAGAGGCCATTGATCCACCCACACAGGAGGTCCAGGCAACCACTCAATTTTTTCTGCGTGGGGTACAGCTGAATCAATGGCCCCTAAAAAGAATACCCTAAACCTGCTCTTTGGGGATGAGCATAGGGTATCATAGGTGTGGCTATTCCCTGATTGTATTTCCCTAATCCTTTACCTGGAATATACCCCTGATTTATCATTTGTTTGGTGACTAACTCATCAGGGCTACACATGATAGCCCCCATTTGCTGTAAAATATCTCTTCCCCATAGATTTACTGGTAGGTGAGGCACAATAAATGGCTGAATTTTGCCCTGATTTCCATTTTCATCATTCCAATTTAATAACATTGCGCTCTTTTGAGGATTTTGAGTCATGCCTATTCCCCTAAGATGGGTGGCTGTATCTTGGACAGGCCAATTCTTGGGCCAATGTTGTTGAGCTATTACAGTCACATCAGCTCCAGTATCTAAAATTCCCTTGAATGGTTTATTATTAATCCAAATTGCTAATTCAGGTTTATCTTGTTGGATAGGTGTGACCCAAAATGCATCAGAAGACCCAAAGGCTCTATTTTGCCTATTCTGAGGAGATAAAAACTTCCCTTTGTCTATATAAGGACAAAGCAATATTTGTGCTATTCGCTCCTGAGCAGGGATAACAGTGATGCCATCAGGTGATGAAGCTAATATTTTTATTTCACCCATATAATCTGCATCTATGACTCCTGGATGAATATGAAGCCCTTTTAAAATCCAACTACTCCTTCCTAGAATAATTCCAACGCTGCCTTTCAGCAGGGGTCCAAATATTCCTGTGGGGAGAGCTTGTGTTCCCATCTGAGGGGTTAATACTGTGTAGGCGGAGGTGTGGAGGTCCAATCCTGCACTGCCTGGGGTTGCTCTGAATAGGTCATGAATGGATTTCGATTTGATGCCTCCTGTGGGACAAATTGAATGCTGGGATAAGCTGTTTTCACATTTGTCCTCATATTTGTCGGGGCCTGAGGTAGGCCCCATTGGAAGTTTTTTTGTCCATTAGGGGATAGTCTTTTATAATTGTTTTTCTGAGAAGAATCGATGAGTTTTCCCTCCTTGTCAAAGATTGACCTACACTCTGATGCCCAATGGTACCCTTTCCGGCACTTAGGGCATAGAGCTGATGGTCGAGACCCAGAACTGGGTTTGTTAGGGCAATCTCTCTTCAGATGTCCAGGCTGCTTACAACCAAAACATGTGAGCTCTTTCTTGTTGCGTGAATTGGCATAAAATGTATCTAAACTCATCCCTTGAGCGGCAGCGGCCATAGCCATCCCTTGTGCCCATCCCTGAGTATATCCTGGTCCTATATCTGCACATAGCCTAATGTATCCTGAGAGATCTGTTTTTCTTTTATAGGGTCGGATGGCAGCCTGACAATGTTTATTAGCATTTTCAAAAGCTAGCTGCTGAACGAATGGCAGGCCATTATCTACATTACCAAAAATCCTTCCTGCAGCAGTAACTAATCGATGCACAAAATCTGAAAATGGCTCATCATGTCCTTGCCTTATGTTAGAGAGGCTAGAGCTAAGGTCCCCTTTGGAGGGAAGGGCAGTCCAAGCATTGCGGGCTGCCAAGGCTATCTGAGCATAAACCGGAGGATCATAATTAATTTGACGAATAATATCCTCATAAGCTCCTTCACCAGCTAACATTTCAAAATTGACTTGACCCATATTAGCCTGAGCATTATGGTGAGCAGTTTCCTTGCAATTATCAAAAAAATTGGATTTCCACAAAAGAAAATCACCACCACTTAAGGCCGCTTTACAGACCATCTTCCAATCACTGGGCGTCAAAAAAGATAATTGTAGTGACTCAATAATGGCCAAAGTGAATGGTGCATTTGTTCCATACTGAGCTGTAGCTATTTTTAATTCTTTGACCATCTTGAAATCAATGGGTTTGTGCCCTCTTACCCTGTTACCTTGGCCATCTAATTCTTCGATAACTGGATAAGCATAAGAGCTGAAGTTGCCTAAGTCCTCTCCTTCCTTTTTGGCCTTTCTCAGTGCTTTCTGGAGGGGAGTGAACTTATGGAGTCTTTCTTCCTCATTTGATATAACCTTTTTATCTATCTTTATTGCTTCTAATTTTCTAAGGAGTGATTGTTTTTCCTCTGCTAACTGAACTCTTTTCCTTAATTGTTCTACCTCTGAGATCATATCTGAGTTGGGGTCTTTTATTTCTCTTATATCAGGTTCGATGGGAGCAGTGGGAGGAGGACGAGCAGTTAATATAGCTCCTACAATATCATTATTATCTTCATTGTCTCCCTCAGACTCTGAGGAGCTTCCGGTTGGATCAGGATACAATTTTGACTCTCTCTCCTTATATTCTGAATATTGTGATTCAACTTCTCTTAACTCCTCTAAGATTTCTTTGGCCTCTCTGAGGTGTTTATCTAAGCCTTGTACATCCCTTTTCTGTAAGCATTCATTTATTAAAGACCAGAAAGGAAATATAATGGCTGGTACACTGTCAGAACTATGACTCCTTAATTTTTCATTTAATTCTTTTCCTACTCTAGCCCAAACATCTTCAGTTATTTCATCTATATCACTGAACCAAGGACAAGTTTCATCCATATAATCAAGAAATTGAAACAATGACTTTTTCTTTGCCTTAATTCCTTTCTCACTGAGTAAAGACTGAATTGCTGTGCTAAATTTCATCTTAGATCCTATGTGCCCCATTGGTACCTGCTTCTCCGAGGATTTTCGCCGCCGGGCGTACCAGACAGCGGTGTCCTCCTTGTTTCGACTCGGCCGAGCCCTTTTTGATAGCAGGCTTCTTCTGATTATGCACCGCTTGCCGCTACAATTTCAGGTCCCTGTTCGGGCGCCACTTGTCGCGAACTGGCGACGCAGAGCACTGTCCCGCAGTGCCTCAAACCTGAAAGAGCAGCGGGGTGGAGATGGGGCAGAGAGAAAGGAAGGACACCAAGACAAGAGTCTGATCAAGGCGACGTTTATTGCAAACAAGCATCAGCTTTTTAAAGGCACATCAACAAGAAACACCTGACTCCTACAGCTAACGTCAGATCTTTAACAGGAAGTACCTGACTCCTACAGATCTTTGGCTATCCGAGTTTCTCTCGTGCAGGGTCAGAAACAAGTTTAACACGTGCAGTCCTTAAAGAGGAACAAATGTCACCCTTCAAAAAGCCAATGGGCCATGGCTGGCTTCCCACATCCTAGGCCTGTGAGCTGGACTCTTTGAGGCTGGAACCCCAATATGCATTTGTCAAGCTCCCCAGGTTTGTGTTTGCTAATGATGAAAATGGAATTAATTGTTTAAAATATTCCCCACAATAGAATTATGGGGACCAGCAGACCTACCTATTCTGTAGTTTACCAACTGTGTGAGCCTGGGAAAAAATTCACATACACTCTCTGAACTAATCTTTCCTCATGTATAATTTAGTGTAATAAAGCCTCCATTATCTAGTGAATAAAAAGGGTAAGAGGAGAGGTTTATGGAAGAATTTAGGAAACTGTAAAGATGGAATGGAATGATAATAGACTGCTGTAACAACAGACTATGTAAGTGGGACAATTTGGTGGAGGAATTTAAAGGAAGGCTGTGATAATACCGTATTTGGTTAGGCTGATCTGAGAAGACTTCATAGAAGGAGTGGCATTTTGGCTGGGTCTGGAAGAATGATTGAAGGTTTCAATAGATATAAATGGTTAGAGAATTCTGAAGAGGTAAAACAAAGTCTGGTTTGACTAGAACAGTGCTTCTCTACCTTGTTTCACATCAGGATACACAGGAGTCTTTCAAAATATAGATGTTGGTATCTAGGCATGGTAACTTCCAGCACTTGGGAGGGTGAGTCAGGAGGATTGCCAAGAGGTCAGGGCTAACATGGACTTCGGAGTGAGTTCAAGGCCAGCCTGGACCACATAGCGAGATCCTGTCTCAAAAATTCAAAAGAAAAATACATGTTGAGCCAGATACAGACAATTTAAAGAAGAGAATCTGACCGTGTATATGGAATGGACTGGGTAATAGGAAATGGAAGTGCCTATCACTTTGATTTGATCATTACACACCATGTACATGTATCATTCCCTACCCCATGAAGGTGTACAAATGTCTCAACATAAAAAAGAAAATGTGGATAGTAATATTGATGTTGAAATCAGATTATCTCATATTTTTACCTAACTTAACCTCTTTGAGCCTCTTTTGTCCATCTGTAAAATGAGAATGACAGTACCGTCCTTGTAGGATTATTGCAAAGATTAGGAGTTAAATTGCTTGGTGTGACTAACACCTTCATTGAATGTGAGTGTTTCTTCTCACTATCCTTCTCTTTATAGTGTCCTTTTTTTCCCTCTTTCTAACAAGTTGTCATTTAATAAATATGTCCTCTCATTTTTCAGTTTCTCCTTATGGTTTTTCTCCCGTTAGTGTTTGGTAAGCCTAACCATCTACATATTCATTGCCTCATTCCTAATTATACCCCTAATCCAACCAACGATCTTGTTACCTGATGCCTAAAGTAGTCAAAATGACAGGCTCTTCAACAGACGCATGTGTTTTTATTATAGCAAGCTTCTAGTCTATCTGACCCAAGGCCGGCCCTGCAACCAAACAGGTGACTGTGATGTCTCCTCCTAGAATCGTAAAGCAAATCCTCAGGGAAAGCAGATTCATTTTAATGAAATTCTAAGTACAACTAGTAAAGTAAATCTGCAGGGGTGGGGGAATAATTATGCTACAAGCATATGTGATTCAGGACAAGGGTGTACAGAAACATTGTTATTCCCTTCCATTACTACGGATAATTAAGAGTTAATTGGTACTTAAAGTACAATGAGTTTTATGTGTGAGAAATATGGATCTTTATAGTGTTTCATTACCTTTTCTCTTTGATTAGAGGATTAGAAATCTGCCAGTTTTAGCACAGCCAACCCAGGTACTGGACCAGTTAAAGACTCACCAGGTCAAACAATGGGAGTTTTAAACCACTGAGATGGTTGGGATCAATTAGCTCCAAGCCACACACCACTCTAGTACAGTGTTGCATTAAATTAAATTAAAAATTAATTTATGCACTCAGGAGGCTGAGCCAGGAGGATCACTGTGAGTTTGAGACTAGCCTGGGCTACACAGTGAGTTCCAGGTCATTCTCAACTACATAGTGAGACCCTGTCTCAAAAAAACAAACAAACAAAAAAATTAATTTATGCAAGATTGATTTTTATGATTCTGACTCATCTTGCATAAGTACATCATATAACTGCTCATTTGTTCTAGCCTTCGTTTGAAGCTTATGATTTTAGTTTTTCTTCATATAATTTTGCACACTGCTATAGACTGAATGTGTGTCTTCCACCAAAATTCTTAAATTGAAACCTTACGTCCAATGTGAGGGTTTTGGAAGTAGAGGAATTGATTAGGCCATGAGGGGCCATACCATCATGAATGACATCAGTGTCCTTATAAAGGACCTTTTAGAGAATCCTTACCCTTTCTAAATGTGAGACACAGCAAAAAGACCTCCATCTATAAAACAGGATAAGGGCGTCACCTGACACCAGATCTGCCTGTACCAGAATCTGGGACTTTCCAGCTTTCAGAACTGTGGGAAATGAATATTTGTTGTTTCCAATTCATTTAGTTTATATTTTTATTACTTTGGTCAGAATGGACTGAAATGCACAAGTTTCTCTTATAATCATTATCTATCCTGTCAGTGATGCAAAGTGGGTAGCATATAGTTTTCTGAATTCTGAGAGAATCTGAAAAGATTTTAATACTATGATAAAATCAGTTAAATATTACAACATCAATTAGTAAATTAAAATTTATCTTTTATAACAAATGAGTACTTTCTAGTAAGTACCAACCATATAAACACTGTATGCTTAAGACTTTCAAAGAGTTAAAAGTAGAAACTCCTAGGAAAACTTGCACACACACACACACACACACATTTACTTTTATGAAACCTGAAAATAATATTTACCTGTCTGGTTGATTTTAACTATTTCTGTATCTTTATGATATCTACTCTTTCCAGCCTTATCTTTTATAAACATAGTGTTTTATATTCTTAAAATACATTAAGATAAACACTTCAGAATGTTTTATTCTTCATGTAATTTAGTTTTGTTTGCGAGGTACAATGATAAAGCCAAAAAAAAAAATCCTCATTTAAATAGGTAATTGCCCATTACAAGGAAAAATGCTTGGATGAATAAGAAGTAAATAATATGAGGTCAAAGAAAAAAATGTGGATGTTCACAATGTAAACAAGCACGGATAAATTATGGAGCACATTGCAAAATCCTCATGGGTATTTCTTTTCTTGTACCAGGTATCAAACTTGGGACCTTATGCTTGCGAGGCAGGTGGCAGGACCACTGAGCTAAAGCCCCGGCCACATGGTTATTTCATATTTTTAAAAAAGAAACCTATCAATGCAAAACACTGCAGTTTTGCCCTTCCTTTCAGTTTCCATCGACATTTTGGTCAGCCTCCCCCTTCAGGTCATTTGCTCCAGCAAAAGTAAGCAAATGTCTGGCGAGAACCAATACTTTGGTCAAAAACTGTAGTTACATACCAGGAACTTTTCAGCCCCCTTCTTTCTTTTAGGTGGTGATAAGATTTAAGTGCCTTCGCACTGAGCTACAAGTCTAGTTTCTTTCATTTTTTATTTTGAAATAGTCTCGCTAATTGCCCAACAAATTGCCCAGGCTGGCTTCCAACTTGCAGTCAACCCTCTGCCACAGCTTCTCGGAGTGCTAGGATAATAGGCGTGCGCCACCACGCCAAGCCTGCTCTGGTGATTTCAAGAAAACATTAGTGAGAAAGTACTTCGCTGAGTGCAAGGCGCATGAGAAAAATGGATATTGATATCAACCCTGCTCAAAGCGAACACACAGGCACGACGATCAAGAATTACTAGGGCCGGGGATTTAGCTCTGAGGTTCCGCCGTCCGCCTCGCAAGTGCAAGAACCCTAGTTCGATTTCCGATACCAAAAAAAAAAAATTTTTTTTAAAAAAAAAAAAAAAAAAAAAAAAAAAAAAAAGAATTACCGCGGGGTTGGGAATGTTGCTCAGTGGCGCCGCGCCTGCCTGGCAAGCACAAGGTTCTGGGTTCGATCCGCGGTACCGGAAAAAAAGACTTAAACTGGCATTCAAATTTCCTCTAAAGCTGGGCGTTAGAAGAATTTGAGCAACTCTCACATCTACACAACCGCGGATTCTACGAATAGAGGAACGTCCCTCTCCCCTCCCCTTCCCTTCTGAAGTCCGGGTTTATTTATTAAATTACGACAGTCGTAAACTCGGATTGCCTCACGGGTTCCTAGCTTTACGACGCAAACAAGTATGGCGGCTTCCAGTGGCAGATTTGAGAGTGAGAAGAGTATCGCAGCGCGTAAGGAACAGACCCGAATTGCCAGGGCTGAGGTGTTGCGTCAGGTACCTTTGTTTTGGGGAAAGTTGTAGTTTAATTCAGAGTTGTAGGAATTGACGATACGGGAGCAAACCCACCCTCACGTTCTCTAACCACTTCAGCTGTGAGTGGATTCCCCTTTCCTGATGCTGGTGTTCTTGTGTATTTCCTATTTCCTAAATGCTGTGGCAGGTTATATTTGCTCATTCTCTTTTCAGAGAGATCTGTTTTATTTTTTTTTATTCAAGTTTTTTTACCTTGTAAGTCGTTCTTTTTGACATTTTTACTCTTAGGACTGAATGCTTTCTAAGAACTTTGCCACTTAACTACTCTGCCACAGTATTTTTTAGCTTCTTTTTCAGGGATACAAGTAAAAAGCGCAGTTAAGTGGAGAGGGTTTGACGTGCCATTCATCTTTCTTAATGTTGGTTTCAATTCTAGACTTATTGTCAGCCTTCGTTGATCTAAACAAGACTTGGAAACTTAGCCTCTCACAGAAGATTGGGAAACCGTATTTCCAATTAAAATTGAGATTGAGAAGGAGGAAGTAAGCTATTGAATTAATTATCCGAGGCAGGCAGCGGCACCACTGAGCTAAATCTTCAGTCCTGAATTAATTATCCAAGAAGCTACTCAAGATGTAAAAAAATGTAACAATGAAAGGGCAAAGTTGTAGTTGGAGATCAACATAGGGTATAGTAACGTCTTTTGTTTTTTAAGATTATTTTTTTTTTTTTTTTTTTTTTTTTTTTGAGACAGGTCTAGTTGTGAAGTTCAGACTGGACTTGAACTCACTGTGTAGCCCACTTGGTTTTGAACTCTGTGATTCTCCTGCCTCAGCCTTAGTGCTGGGATTACAGATGTGTGCCACAGTGCTCAACCAAAATGAGAGTGTTTTAAGCGAGTATAGTTGCAGATGTGTAGGAATCAGTGAAGAAGAGGAGGAGGAAACAGGAATGAAGACTCAGCAGAGAAGAGGTAGAGGAGGCAGGGAGGAGAAAAGATGACTACAGCTGGATTTTAAAGGGGGAAAAGTAGGCGATGAAACTTGGACAAGTAAAACATTGGGATTATTCCCTGATTTCAGCATAAGCATAATACTTTTCATTGTTGTTTCTTTTGTATTTCAAGGCAGATTTTGGAGGGAGTAGAGTTTTTAAGCTGTTACATTTTGTAATAGAGAAATACATTGTTTGGGAAGGACCAAAACCAACGTTAGAGTTGAGAGGAAGAATGAGAGTCCAGGAACAACTTCCTGGGAAAAACTACCTTTATTTGACCATTATTAAAAAGATGAATGGATGTTAACAGTGTGGTCATTTCTCTTTGGATTGTTGATTCTTCCTGAGGCTTTTTAGGGGGGTAGGTGTTAGTGTATGAACACTGTATATTGAAGGCATGGAGGTCAGTCTTCTAAATGTTGCAAAAGTTTTTTTTCCTGTATTTTAATATTCAAAAGTTATATTAAACATCTGTAAAACATCAACCCCTAATTACTTTTTTAACACTATAAAACTTCAACTGGTAGAAGAAACAAAAAATATCTAATGAGAATGACTATAATGCAGCAGTATAGTTACAGGAAAACTAAAAAACCCACCATCAAAAAAACCAGCCAACCTATCAGGCATGTTTATGTTTTATTTCCTTTAGGCAATAGTTTTTAAAAAACAACATTTTTAAAGAGTCAGTCCTCAGAGATAATCTATCAAAAAATAAAATCCAGTATCTGGATTCTCAGGAATCACAAAACCTACTGTCTGGCTGTCAGCTAGTCACATCACACTCAAATTGCTTCATACTGCATGTGATGATCAGTAAGTAACATCAGTCATCAAATCCCAATTCCAAGGGTTACTGAAGACTACCATTGTCTTATTGGTGAATTGTACATAATGCATGTTCTTTGGCAACTTTATCAATTAACACCATGGGGTAATTGTAAGGGTTTGAATTAGCTTAGTGTTTCAACATTTCATTATAATATTTAAATGTAACTTCTAATAGACGCAAGAATAAGAAAGCCTCCAAACATGCCTGATACAATGACGAAAAAGATATGCTAAAACAAAATTATCACTTCTAAAAGTTTTTCAGTTGAATGTAGAAATATACAATTCAACTCAACTTTTATCAAATAAAGCTCTAATTTCTGTTAGCTCTAATTTCCCATCAGATCTTCTGTGATAAAAGACAAAACATAAATGTTGAAACTAACATCAGGATATCTGTCAATTTTTCTGGAAGGTTGTTTCATATAAATTCAAAATGGCCTAAAATTAGCCAGAATTTTATATGAATTCTTACTATAATATTTCAAAACTTACACTTTAAAATATTAATTTTAACTGCTCCATGGATTAAACCTATTTTGGAAGCTTAGCAAATAACTAAGAAATTTAAACAGGAAGTTTAAGCTCAGAAATGTAAGAAATCTTTATTAGATACAACAAAATCATCAACTTTAATGGCATCCACTACAAATTATCACTAAAACTCACACAAAGTAAATTAAAATAGGTATGGCAGAAAGTGCAGTCTGAAGCATGTTCACACAACACAACAAATGATAAATGTTAGCTAGCAAACATTCAAATAAGCATATATGCAAACAGTTGTAGGCAAATTTTCATGAATAAAAAATTATTCATTTGGATCATTTTATTTACAGCTTGTTTACAATTTAAAACCAGTATGACCAAAAACATTTCTATATAAAAGTCACAATAAAATAAAATGGAACACTAAGTAACAGACTTACAGACTGGTCTCTCTCAGGAAAATTTATGAGAGACTAGCTGAGTGATACTATTCTAAGAGATGCCCTCTTTCTGACCAGTCATTTCTGTTTTAACTGAAAACACATTTGCCAGCATATGTTTTGGAATCTCTGAACCTCGGACTTTCAGGACATTAACAAGCATTCTCCACTTTGGCCAGTCTCTGTTTCAAGGTATACAAGCTTCTTTGCAACCTCATAAGGCCCTGTGTTGCCAATGAATGAGAACCCATCATAAACCTGGCGTAAAAACTGGCTTATTTCAAAGGGGGTGTCAGTGTCCCCATTCCCCACACTGTTAATACACATCTGCATCAATTCTCCAGTTAAATTGGCCATTCCCACGAGGTAATCAACAGGTGTGACTTTCAGGTGCCACATGACCAGGTGCTTATCCTGTGCATCAGAGGAGGGGGTGTTCTTTTCTATTCCACTGTCTTCCGTTGTAAATATCAACTGTTTATTAATTTCATCCATACTGATTAGTGATTGTGCTTTGATGAAGTGTTGAAAAGGGACAGCTTCCACATATTCCTCCAGTCCTGTAGTTAATGGCTCGATGGAATTGATGCGTGTCTTTTCCTGACAGCTCTTGGGCCACCTGTAATATAGTTTGTCTGATGCCATCCAATTTAATTTCTGATTCAGTCAGTATTTCTTACATGTCAGTTGTAATTTGAAGGCCAACATCACAGGAGAAGATGAATTAACATCCTTCCTGTCTCTTCTTTGGTCATGGGGAAGTTGTCATGGTTCCTCTTCCTGAGCCCTCCTGACCCTTCTTTGTTGTTCATGTCGGATGGGCCTTTGCCACAATGCGTGGTCAATGAAGGCGGTGGGAGACCAAGTACAGCAAGGACTGTCCGCAAAAGTTTAATTCATTAGCCATGAGGATTAGTTTGAAAAGGGATATTTGTTGAGGGGAGAGGAAAGGGTCTAGAATAGGTATTAGGCTTCTGTTTCTGACTGGTGGTTCCTTTTATTGAAGATTGGTGTTTTGGAAGGAAAGATTTTGTTTTGTGTTTTTAGTCACACGAACAGACTATTCATAAATAGGTACCTTAATGTGAAAGTGATAGATTTTTTTTTCTTTTTATTTTTTTGGTGAAAAGCAGTTGAGTCCATTGTCAATTTGTCTTTTTGTTGTTATTGTTGTAGGCCAAAGCCAATTTTGAAAAAGAAGAAAGGCAGAAAGAACTTAAACGGCTTCGAGGTGAGGATACATGGATGTTACCTGATGTGAATGAGCGAATCGAACAGTTCTCAAAGGTGAATATTAACAGGTTTACTCAATTTAGTGATAACTCTTCTTTGCACTATTCAAGTTAATATTGAGAGGGCAATTTTATACATACTTCATAGGTTATAGAATGAGTATCATGTAGTTGGCATTGATAATTTTATCTCTCTGTCAAAAATACTGTATTGTAATGTTTTGGACATCAGGACATTGAAAGATTTTGTTACTTGAATTGGCTTGTGGAACACTTACCTTCAATACATGATCACTTTTGGCCAATTTATAAAAATACGTTATGAATTTTAAGCTTTCGGTCTTAATGTTGAGGACTTCAACCTTGGTTTTCCTTACAATTTTTTAAAAATTTACTTTTAATTGATAGTAATTTTGTATACATAGGGAGTATGGTGTAATGTTATGATCTATGTATATATTATGGAATGATTCAGTCAAGTTAACATATGTCATCATGAATATTTTTTGTGTGGTGAGAACATTGAAATCTATTTTAAATATTTCATAATTTTGGAATATATGTAACTTTTTAAGGCAAAGTCTACCTCACATAGTCCAGGCTAGTCCAGAACTCATTATGTTGCCCTGGCTTGGCAACAAACTTGGAATTCTCCTGTTTTAGCCTCCTGAGTGCTGGGATTACAGGCATACATCACCATGCCCAGTTTTGGAATTATATTATTATTACCTATGATCATTAAAACTGATTCCTCCAGTCTGACTGAAACTTTGTATCTTTTGCTCAGTGTCTTCCTTTTCTTTTCCCTCTCCTTGCCTCCCCTCTAATCTCTTTTTAAAATTTTAATCAATGTTAATTTAACTGACCATTTATCAATCTAATTATCTATGGTGTCTTTATCTATCTATCTGTATATTTTTTACCCTCATATCTATTTAATTACAGTATCTGTCTTTACCATCTGGGTATCTCTCCATCTTCTATTTATTTGTTAGTACTGGGGATTAATCTCAGGGAAGTGTTACCGTTTAGCTACATCCTTAGCTCCTTTTATTTTTTGAGACAAGGATTTGGTAAAATGGCTCAGGTTGGCTTTGAACTGGCAATTCCCCTATCTTGGCTTCCCAAGTAGCTGGGATTATAAGCTTGTTCATCCATTCCTCGCTTGGTCTAATAGTCTTGTATAATTGGGAGCATAACAGAGATATGTGTTCGCACGTGTGCGCATGTGTGCGTCTGTGTATACACATGTATTTGTATGCATGCATTTATTTGATTATATCTATCACGAATCTATGAATAAAACAAAAATTTTCATATGTTTTGGTAAGAAATCTGAGGTATATGATTTTTTTAATAGTGCCTGTATTACAGAAAGCATGTTCAAGTTTCTTGGAAGGTTTTATTTAATTATATTTTTTATTTCCTTTCATGGAAGAGTTAAATTGTTTTTGAAGTATGGATATTTTCCTTTTAAATGTTTCTCTTTAAAGTAAAATGAAAACTAATTTCCTTTCCCTTCTGCTGATGATAGGAACATTCTCCGAAGAAAAAGAAGAAAAAGGAAAAGCATTCAAAAAAAGTAAAGAAAGAGAAGAAAAAAAAGAGCAAAAAACAGAAATATGAAAGAAGTGAATTAGCTGATAGTTCATCAGTAAGTACTAAAATTAACCAATATAGAGAAGCCATTCAGAGAAAATTTTATTTAAAAGAATAATTTATGATGACTTCAAATATATGAGAACTTAAAAAAATACTGCTAGTTAATGACATGAAAATGTTTGGGGGACACAGACTTGAAGATGTACAGGATATATTAGAAATGTAGGTTTTGAGTTCAGTTAAGAGGGTAGAGGGGCAGGGATTTAGCTCAGTGGCACCATGCCTGTGTCACAAGCACAAGGTCCTGAGTTTGATCCCCTGTACAAAAAAAAAAAAAAAAAAAAAAGGGTAGGGATATGATTTGGGAATCAGTACTCATTGGAGTCATTAAATGGATGAAGTACCTAGGGATACTGAGAAGAAAGATGAACATCAACACTGAAGTGCCAGAAAGGAAATAAAAGAAGCTAAGTAAAAGTAGTTGGAAAATTAGGAGAAACAGGAAAAAGAAATTTTGTACAAATAAAAGTTTTCAAGACATTTGAGAATCTGTTATTCTTTTTTTTTTTTCATAGAAGTTAAATTTAAGTCTTCAACGTAGTATGTTTATAGACTTTTGGTAAAAAAGAGAGAGTGCAGGGTTGATTGTTGTCTTTAGGCATTTCTAGGCTGCAAGGGCCCACAAAGGAAAAGACAGCAGGCCAAAACCTTTATATTTGTTTTCAGGAAAAAAGATTGTACTTAGAGAGTGATGAGCTAGAGATGTTTAGGGAAAATTGGTCTCCTGTGTGTGATCTTCATGGGATTATTCTGTCAGGTGAATCACCATAGTCCCAAGTTTGGCCCTTGAGTAGGTACAGAAGTTATATTTTTGGCAGTTTATTGTCAAGGGTAAACACAGGTAGATGTTAGTTAAATCAGTGAGAACAGATTTGATATAGCAATTACTCACAGAAGGGAAAATAGCTGCAATTCATTACAATTTGTGCTGAGATGATTTGTGATTTTTAAAAGGAGAATGAGGGAAGAGGTAGAGCAATGGCTTAGTAGAGTCAGAAAAGTGAAAAAAAATCGTAAGATCTCTCAGTGTAATTTTGGCCTCCTAAAATACCAAGTCTTTCAGTTTATCATGCTCTCTCTTTAAGTCATCTTTCATTTTTTCTACAATGTTTTGAAACTTTCAATGTAGAGGTCTTAGCTTTTGTTATTTTTTCCCTGATTTTCTTGGAACATTATTGGAGATAGAACTTTAAAAAAATTTTTTTTCTTCTGTGTTTGTAGCTAGTACATAAATACACAGTTACTGTTTGTGTTTTGAAATTCTGCTTTTTCACCTTGCTAAGTTCACAAATGCTAGTGTTAGTAGGTTCTGAGGTATATTTCTAGGTACTCGATTACGTTATGTGTGCATAAAGAGAGTTTTACTTTTTTCTTTCCAATCTTTACCTTTTATTTCATTAGTTAATTTTCTCTTGCCTCTGTCAATAGCTGGGACTTTGAAATCATGTTGGATACAAGTGATGAGAGTAGACGGACTCACTGCCTTGCACCCTGTGTTAGGATAAAGCATGATGATTTTAGTCATGATGTTTGTTGTGAGAATTTTTTTTCTTGTGGTGCTGTGGATTGAACCCAGAACCTTGCTCATGTTAAGCAAAGGCTGTATCGCTGAGCCTCTGCATGAGCTGTAGCATTTTCACATAATGCCCTTTCAGATTGAGGAAATTCTCTTCTATTTTTAGATTTCTGTCATTCATTTTGCATCTTTTTTTTTTGATATCCAGGATCAAACTCAGGACCTTGCACTTGCAAGACAGGTGCAGTGCCACTGAGCTAAATCCCCGGCCTTGTCATTTTATATCTTGAATGAATATTTAATTCTGTTAAAATTTCAATGTACCTATTAATATGATCATATGATTTTTTTCTCTTTATTCTCTTAATATGAAGAATTACATTCCTCTATATATCTATATCTTTATCTGTGTAAATAAGAACATAAAATATGTATTTCAAATATATCTTGTATATAATACAAATTTATAACATATAATCATTATGAAACCTAATATATGTAATGTAAAATAGTTATATATGAAATATATTTTCATTTACAGTCATGTATACGTATAATAAGGTTTGGGTCAGGGATGAACCACATTCTATATATCTATATCTTTATCTGTGTAAATAAGAACATAAAATATGTATTTCAAATATATCTTGTATATAATACAAATTTATAACATATAATCATTATGAAACCTAATATATGTAATGTAAAATAGTTATATATGAAATATATTTTCATTTACAGTCATGTATACGTATAATAAGGTTTGGGTCAGGGATGAACCACATGTTAATGGCAGTACCATAAAATCATATTGCCTAGTGATAATTGTAAGCCTCTTAATTTATGTAAGTATATTTTATGATGGTCACACAGTGACAAAAATCACCTAATGACATGTCTCTTAGAACATGTTCCTGTCTTTAACTGTATGATTTATATAATACATATATTGGTAGGTTTGATTTGCTAACATTTTCTTAAGGATTTTTGTATCTGTGTTTAGGAGGAAAGCTGGGATTTTAATACAAGGGTAATGCTGACGTCTTACATGAATTAAACAGTATTCCTTTTCTTTTGTCAGAGTTTGTGCCTTAGTATAGTTTCTACCTTAAATGTTTATTAAAGTTTAACAGTGAAAGTACTTGGTCCTGGAGTTTTCTTTGTGCATTGTTTTTCACAACAAATATAATTCTTTCATAGCTGTGTTACATATTTTCTATTAAGTGTTGAGTTGAAGTAATTTGAGTTTTTGAAGGAATTTTCTTTGTCTAAATATTCATCCTTTTAATGCCTATGGAAGCTGTAGTGATGTTCCCTTCTATTCCTCAGTTGGATAATTTCTATTTTCTTTTTGTTACCTTTGTTGTTCTAGCTTGAAGTTTATCAATCTTGCCAAATTTAAAAAATTACATTTTAGTTTTGTTGATTTTTTTGATTTCCTATTTCATTGATTTCATTTATCTTTATTATTTTTTTCCCTAATCCTTATTTTATGTTTAATTTGCTTTTCTTTTCCTAGCTTTCTAAGGAGGTACCTAGGCCATTGATTCTAAATCTTTCTTTTCTAATAAGTATTTAATTTATAATTTTTCCTCAACACTGTTGTATCATTACCTGGTTAATTTTGATGCGTTATGTTTTTATTATCATTGTTATTTAAAAATCTGAAAATATATATTTTTTTTAGCTCATGGGTTATATTTAAGTGAATTTTTGATTCTGCAGGTATTTGTGTATTTTACCACTTATATTTTGTTACTTAATTTGGGCCTGTATAGTGATATATGCCTGTAATTCTACTGCTTTGGATGCTGATATAATTCCATTATTGTTATACTTTGTATGATTTTAATTAAGAAATGATGGAGGGCTGGGGATTTAGCTCAGTGGTTCTGCTGCCTGCCTTGCAAGCACAAGGACCTGAGTTCGATCCCTGGTACCAAAAACAAAAAACAAACAATAGCAAAATGATGGAGACCTATTTTATTACCTAGCTTATGATCTCTTTTGGTGAAAATACCATGTATAATTGAAATTAATATGCATTCTGCTGTTGTGAGGTATTGTGTTTCATAAATGTCAATTAGGAAAATTTGGTTAATAGTGTTTAGTCTCCTATATTCTTATCTTCTGATTATCTGTTCTGTCAGTTACTGAGAGAGCAGTGTTGAGAGCTGTAACTGCAGTTGTTGATTTGTCTATTTCTGCTTTCAGTTTTGTTTTTTGTATTTTTAAGCTTTATTAGGTATGTGTACATTTTGGATTATTCCGTTTTGAATTGACTGATATTATGAAATTTAAAAATTTTTTTGGGTAATACTCTTGTCTCAAATCTGCTTTATCTTATTTATTTATTTATTTGTTTGTTTTGTTTTGTTTTTTTGGTACTGGGGATCGAACTCAGGTCCTTGTGCTTGCGAGGCAGGCAGTGGAACCACTGAGCTAAATCCCCAGCCCATTAATCTGCTTTATTTTACATCGTTCTTTTTATCTTTTTGTTTTTTTCATCTTGTGTTTCTTTTTAGTGTTAATATTTATGTTGTCTATGTTTCTTTTATATTGACAGTATATTTCTTGCAGACAGAATACATTTGGAGCTTTTTATCTAGTCAGTCAATTTCTCCCACTTTAATTAGTTTTTTTAAATGTGGTAGCATTGCATGAATTTTAAATTTTTAATTAAGATTCATTAAAATTATATGTGAAAGGTAGAATGAATGGAGATGAAACTATAAGAATTGATAGGGCCTTATAAACCAAAACCTTTGACTTTATTCAGTAGGGAGTGTATTAGCTAATTAGCTGCATTTATTCGAAAATCTCATAGTAGTCCTTGGTTAAACAAGATAGTTTCTTTTTTTCTCTCATATAAAAGAAATCAGAGGCAGTCTGGAATTACTGCAGTCGGAGACTAAGATTTCTATCATCTTGTTCTTTCATTACATCTTGTTCATCGTTACAAAACTGCCTTAGTCCAGATAACAAGAAGGAGATGATATCTTTTCTTTTTTGACTTTCAGAAAGTCCCACAGAATACTTTTGTTTATATCTCATTGGACACTTGATCGTGCTTTACTTGCCGTCATAGGAAGCATGTTACTTTAAAAAAGAAACACTGGTTCTATTGGTAGGAAAGAAGAGGACCAGCAGTCTTTGTGACCGGGAGCCATAGAGGAGCAGTACTATGGTTCATATGTCCTTTATATTACTTTAAATGTATTATGGGTGGGGATATGGAGAAGGAAGGGGAGCAGAAAGACAAGTTCAAGAGATTTGGCCATTCAGTGATATAGGTGAGAGGTAAGAAGATCTGGTTCAAGAGTCCTGCTTGTAGGATGGAAAGGAAGGGGATATGTTTTAGTTGGTACTCTTCGTTGTAGGTAACAAAAATCAAACTTATACTGCAGGTAACTAAAAGCAAACGTGCAAGCTGGAAGTGGCAGTGCTTTCACATAATGCCAACATGTGGGAGGCTGAGGTTGAAGGACTGTAAGTTTGAGGCCAGCCTGGGCTATGTTTTGAGTTTAAGACCAGTAGAGGCTGCATAATGAGGTCTTGTCTCAAAAAATTATGTTTTGGGGGGTCTGGGAATTTAGCTCAGTGGCGCCACACCTGCCCATCAAGCACAGGTCCTGAGTTTGATTCCCGGTACAAAATAAGTGTAGGATTTATTGGATTATAAAATTTTACGACATCTAAGTGTAGGAATCAGCTGGAGGTCAGGAATGGCTTGAGTTAGAATCATGAATGTTTTTAGTATTCTTTTGCCGTTTTCCGTTTTTTTCTCTACTTAGTCTGCTTTTCTTTCTTGATACAGACTACTTTTTGCTGAATTCCATTCTTCATGACAGAAGTAGCCTCTGCCAATGCTTTCTAGTTCACCTTCATTTTAGATCAGTCTTTGGGCTTGATTTCAAATTCTTGCAGAGTAATTTGGACTGTTACAAATTAGGTCAGGAAATGACTTTTGAACTAGTTGACTGTGATTAGGGATGGAAGTACATTCCCATGCCAATCATGGTATTTTCTGTATGATATATTTGATAAGTATTTCGAAGTTGAAAATAATAGTTTTGGATTAGTGGGGTAAGATGATCTTGCGATTTCTCACTTGGGTGATTAGGTGGTTATTGGTGCTTGGCGTTACTCAGTTCATTAAGAGAGTGAAGAACAGGTATTGTAGAAGAAGGTGATGGATTTATTTTATATTCTTGAGTTCAGCATGACATCCAAGTATAGTAGATAGTTGATTATGTCCTTGGAAATATGTTTAGACAAATTTTACAGTCAGGGGTAAAAGTGGTAGTAATTCAAGCCGTGCAAATGGACTTAATAGCCTGAGTGGAATGGTTAGAGAATACAAAATATAGTGGCCAAAGAATGAAACCCTAAACAATATGGATATTTAACAACTAAGCAAAAGAGGAAGAATGTATGAAGGAAATGGAAAAGAAGCAAAGACTGGGAGAAGACCTGGCAAGTGTCCTGGAAGTCAAGAAATTTAGTGAGTTGATATTGTGAGTTATTAACAGTTATATTCAGTGGAGAAGTTTAGAGAAATAAAGACTGAAATATTTTGTTCATTTTGGCAGTGTGGAAGCCACTGATGAATTTTGAAGAAATTTCACTAGATTAATGGGGACAAAGTTGTCTTGTAGAATTTAGAGAAAAATTTGAAAGTAAGGGTGTGAAGACAGTTAATGTAAAATACTCTTGCATTAAGATCATCTTAGAATGGAAGTTGGATGATAAATTGCTACTAGAAGGATACACAGAGTCACAGAAGGTCTTCCTTCTTTAAAACAAATGTTGGGAAATACAAAATACTTCAACATATTTCTAGACCATTAGAACCTTTGATTGAAGCATAAGAGAAGATACTGTAATTGATGGATCAAACTCCTGGAGGGACAGGAATGATGAGGATAAAAATCTTTGGAAGAGGATATGCTTTAAAGGAAGAGTCAACAGGACTCATCCTTATAGAAAAGAAACTATAAATAATTTTATTGGAGATTATGTAGGAAGCAAAGGTGGACTAATTTTTCTTGAGGCAAGAGGAGAGATCCTTTTCTCAGTAAGTGGGGGATGTGAATGGGTGAAAAGTTGAGGAGGGTGTTGAAGAAGATGAGGATCTTCGTACAGGTATTAAGCTAGGTACTGTATTCAGGGATACAAAACACACCTAAGCAGGTGTAGTTCGTGTCCTCATAAGACTTACTACTTAGTCAGATATTAACCAGATATTTACACAAATAAATGTAAAATGGTTAAATGCTTTAAGGAAGAGGAAGTAAGGGAATAGAAGGGAGAACTGACCAAGAATTAGTATAAGGGAAATTCTAGTTTTGGTTGAAAGTCTATTTCAACTGAAGTTGTAGATCATGGTGATTGAATTTTTCCAGAGTTGGATATTTGGCAGTGAAGCATCTGATGGCTTCAGTTAGTGAATTTAAGTGGTTGTCCCATATGTGATAAGATAGAGAAAACCTCAAATTATTAAAGAAAGCCTATGACAGAATCCCAAGGACCACCAAATTTTAATCATTTTAGTTTGATTTTAGCAAATTGGCATTTCCCTAAAGAAAATGATTTATTTTTCATGCTGTAGCTCCTATTTTAGTGGAGGACATAAAGAATTAGAAATCAGGTTAAATGTGGTAGTACACAGCTGTAATCCTAGCTGCTCATTAGGTTCTGGCAGGAGTACTCCAAGTTCAAAGCCAACTTGGGCCTTTCAGTGAGAATATATCTCAGAATAAAGAACAGGGTGGCTGAGGATGTAGCTCTGTGGTAGAGTAGCCCTGGCTTGAATCCCTGATAGCACCCCCTCCACTAGGAATCAGGTCTCTTTAAGTTGATTTGATGATATAAACATGATTTGACCAAAACTTCATTTATAGTGATTATCTTAAAATAATTTTAAGTACAGATATAAATAAATTGGTTTATGTAAATCCAAATCATTGCCTAAGTGAGTGAATAAAATCTACACTGCTTTGGTAAATAGGTGACAGATGAAGTGGCAGAGCATAAATATGCTTACTCCATGGGCATTACACCTTTTGACAAACATATTTTTGTTCTTTAAAGAAAGCTTATGTAACTTAAGAACTTCATGGAACTGAATGGTATCATTTAAGGAAATTGCTTTGCTATTGACTCACTTTTCCCCCCCCCACTCTCAAATTTTCTTAGCTATACATTAATAGGTGGCTTACACAGGTGGTTTCTAGGATCTTTCCTGCACTTAATTCTATAGCTCCAAAGAGTAGATTTTAGGGCCAGCAGATTGAGATTCCTATCTTTTTCCTCACACTTGAATATCATGTAACCTTGGACAACTTAATTTTAGGTAGCTTTCTTTATCTGTAAAATCAAACCAATGCTTTTTAGAGTCATTTTAAGTACTCAGTGTGATAATTTATGAAAAAGTACTTAATATTCTACTAGACATAGAAGAGCAGACCTGTACATTTAAAAAAAATAAAACCCCAAACCTGGAGTAATGATAAATACACAAGGATATTGACTAAATTGAATAATCTGGTGTTATACATAGCAAAATGCCTCACCAGTCTAGTACTTGAAATTATGAATTTTTAGATCTAGAGAAATCTCAGAGTTTGAAACGTAGAGACAAATGGCGTGCATTTGGGTGTCATTTCCCCTGTTTCAGAGTGACATAAATATGAGTATTTGATTTTGATAGGAACTGAAGCTCTGGACTGAAGTGAATTATTTACCTAATAGTTCTAATTTTTTTGTCTTATAATTTTTTGGGGGAGGGTACTGGGAATAGAACTTTGGCCCTTGCACTTGTGAGGCAGGTGACAGAACCACTGAGCTAAATCCCATTTGTTTTTTTCCTTTGTATTTGCCCTGTAATATAACTGATAAGACAATAGAAATAATTTGGTTGTGTTTTGTGTACTTAGCTCAAAATAATGCATTTATATTTTCTTCTAATTTTCAGTGTCTTTTTTAAAGAGGAAATGTGTTGTAAGAATTTTGTTGGGAAGCTGAATTATCACCACTTAACAGCATAGAAATTTTATATGAAAGTATGTAAATTAAACAATTCCACTTATATGCTAAATATCCTTAGAGCTCTGAGGATGAGTGGGTGGAGGCTGTTCCATCCCAGACTCCTGGCAAGGAAAAGGCCTGGAAAGCAAAAGATGAAAAGTTAGAAAAAGAAGATGACAGCCCCGTTATTCAGGTATGTAAGCCACCTGATTTTAAAGAAAGAAGTTTCAACTTCTAAGAATAAATGAATGTTAAAGTGAAAGGTGATTATAATTTCTTCTGGAGAAAAATTAGACTTTGAAAACAGTATACCTTATGAATATTTCCTGAACATTTAGGCTCCCCCTTTTCTCCTGCTGTGAGAAAAAGAGTGCTTCAAGTCCTTTGTTTTTTCTTCTTCTGGTTACTGATAGAGAAGTGGCAATTCCTTCTTAATGTGCCTGCAGCCTTATAATGTAACCTCTGTCTGATTAAATCTTTCTGTGGTCAGAAGAGTTGCCATACAGTTTTATTTCTCTTCACCTTTTATCATAATTTTCTTAACAATACTTAGAGTTGAATGATTGTATTTCACATTGCCTAAGAAAGAATGTATACTCTTAATAACAGATGAAGGGAGAAAGGTCAGTAGGACCTAATGTTTCATTTCTTGTTGTATCTGTTATTTTGTTTAACCCTTTGAACAACCCTGAAAGATAGGCATTTTATCCCATCTAATAGAGGAGAGTCTAAGGCATACAGAGATTTGAAAACTTGCTTAAAGTTGTATAGCCATGTAGGATTTGATACAGTTTGAGTATCTCCAAAATTCTTGCCCTTACTAATTTTAATTGGTTCAGTTTGAAGTGACTTCCTTTTTTTAACAGAGGGATGAGTGGATGACTGTTGATTTCCTGTCTGTTAAAACTGTGTCTTCATCGTCACTTAAAGCTGAAAAGGAAATGACAAGGAAAATAGAGCGAGAAAAAAGCCAAGCACTTGAACAGGTATGAAAACATTTAAAATGCTTTAACTTTCTAATTTGCCTTTAATAAACTGATAAGACATTCGTATAAATGCAAATTTACTTGTAAAATAGTTTAGCTTTTGTGATAGTGAAAAAGATTAATTAGAACAACTATGAAATGTGATATAAATTCTTTTAAAATAAGTTTCCTATAGAAAATCAATTCAAAGGTATACTGCATTTATAAAGATAGGGCAGTGATAGCAAACCTTTTAGAGCTTTCAGAGATACAAATGGCCTGCTGCAGCACGTGTGCTGTAGTTTCACTACCACTGATCTAGGGCGTATACAGTTGAATGATAAATTGAGATTAGGTGTTTAAATTATTATCATTGAATTAAAACTGAATTCTTTGAAATTCTGTTTCTGTGTACATACTGAGTTAGATAACATAAAATGTTTTCATTTTAGACACCTAAAATTCCTACATTTATTATTGTTACATTGCTGGTGGGAAAATAGTGGGAAATCTTTTGAGCCCAATGAAGCAAAAGTATTGGGGAGGCTGAGGCAGGTGGATTGCTGCGAGTTCAAGGTCAACCTAATGATTTCCAGGCCAGCCTGAACTACATAGCAAGACCCTGTCACAGAAAACAAATCAAAACACATGAATGGAAGAAAGAAAGAAAATAAGATGGACAAAGGCATGAATCTAGAAAGCAAAGAAGTACTAAAACTGATAGTTTATATCACACAATCCTGGCATTCTAGAATTTCAGTTTTAGGAAAGTTTGAGGTAGCAGATAAAGCAAGTTCCTATATGAGATAGGCACTTCTGACTGATAAACTGCTATAATTCTAGGACCCACAGGGATATGTTCTTGATTAAAAGATGAATCTGGAAATAACCTTATTGAAGGCAAGAAATCTTGCCTGTGTTCTTTTTTTTTTTTTTTTTTAAGTTTTTTCCCCAGTGCTGGGAATTAAACCTAGGGCTCTGTACATGCAAGGTAAATACTTTATCCCTGAGCTGCACCCCAGCTCACAGCCTGCTTGTTTTGTCAAGTGTCTTGTATGGTAGAGTAATATCTCCCAAGGGAATATATATGTAAGTACAGCCTGCCTCTGTAGTGGTTTATAGCTTGATTTGTAGATATAATGGCTTGAATTCATGCTACATATGTGGTCTGACAATCTTTAAGGGGAGAATTTAAAGAATTTTTGAGTTGATAATTCCTTTAACTACTTGAGATGCATAACCATGAGTCCTTTCTAGAAGAGTATATTGTCAATCTAAGCTTCACAGGTTTCCTAAAACAAAATTCTATGGATATAAGCTCACAAACTGAAAATCAGAAAGTACACTTGCCTCAGCCTCCCAAGGTGCTTTGGCTTCATTTTTTGGCCAAGAAAGAGCCATCTAAAAACAATGACTAATAGAATCAGCTCTGTAAAACCTTGATGTCTTGGGATATTTAATAGCTTTATAAAGTAAGAGCAGTTATAAAAAATATGAATAAGGACTAAATAATTATTAAGAAGGTAGACTTTAAGCCAGTTGTGGTGGTGCATGCCTGTAACACTAGCTACTTGGGAGGCTGAGGCAGGAGAATTACAACTTCCTGGACAACTTAGTGGAGACCTATTTAAAAAAAGAAAAAAAGTATCCTTATGGGGAACATTGGAAGCCAAAATTTTGGGAACATCTAGGACTAATTATTTAAAATATCTTTTTTCTCTAAATTGGATTTGGAATTGGAGTTCATTGTATACCAGAGAGCAGGGAAGGTACATCCAGCCATAGGAATAACCAGTGAATAGTGGAGCAAGAAAGATGAGCTGCATAACATCCCACAATTATGTCAAGTCAATTTTTTCAGAGTGAACCTTTGATCATGTTGTATTCCATTTAGAAGTTTTCTTCAATGATTGAAGTTACTAAGAATGTGTCTTTGCCATTTCTGACCTTTTCTTTCTGATGGAGGGAGCACTACTTGTGATATTTCTTGCGATCTTTCTTTCTCAGTCTGTCCTTCAGAACATGGAGTAAATTTTCTACTGGAAAATGTAGATAGACTAAACTGATCATGCTTTCTGTTTTGTTTTGTTTGTTTTGAGACATGGTTATACACTATGTAGCCCAGGCTGGCCTCAAAATTGTGATCCTCCTGCCTCAGCCTTCCAGGTGCTAAGATTATGGGCATGCCCCACCAGGCCTAGCTGGTCATGCTTTCTCAATTCTGATTTTTCTGTTTGTGAAACAGGTTGCCCGCAGAGACAAGATATGGTTGGCTCTGTGCTTGCTGCAGCTAGGAAAGTCTTCTTCATTTTGGGATTCCTTTAGTAGGCTCATTTGTCTTTTACTGAATGATTTTCTCCCAGTTGAGTATTCATTAATAATACAAGTAGTTTTTGTATTTTATCTCCTCTACCTTTGTTTATTTCTCAACTCGTTCAGAACCTAGACCAGTGTTGGTGAGCCTATAGCATACATGCTGTAGCAGGCTGTTTGCATCATTGAAAGCTCTAAAAGATTTGCTATTGCTACTCTAGACTAAAAGAAAGGTATTCTATATACTATTTCTCAGAGACCCCTGAGGCTACCTGCAAATATAGCCCTAACTCATTTGATTGCTGTTTCAGGCAAATTTCTTTCTCTCAGTTAATTTTAATCTTAACCAAATTAATTTAATCCCTTGTACACATACTTCTCTACAAATCCCTACTTCTAAATTTTTTTCATGTGGTCCTTTTTCAGTGCATTCTCTTTATCTCTTTATCTTTTGTCTGCATCTTGTTTATCTTTCAAGGTCTGTTTCATACATATGAAACTTTTGCTATTTTTCTTGACTGAAATAAATTTTTTCTTTTTTCATGATTTCATAGCACCTTATTTATCCCTACATGTTACTTACAGTTCTCTGTAGAATTCTGTACAGATTCTAGATTTAGTAGTCTTATCTGTTTTCCTTATAAAATTATAAACTTTTTAAGAAAGCATGTTTTGTTTGTATTTGCATTTTTCTTTGCAGCTAGTATAGAAACCTGCACATAGCAGGAACTTTTTGTCTTTTAAAAAAATATATGAAATTGTAGATATAGTATTCTCTTCATGAGTACAATTAATCTTGCTGCTCTGTAAATCCTTAGATTTAGTTCTGAAGTTCATAATCTGTAGTAGTTTGAGATTTTTGCTTAGGTAAGAATTCAGATTGTTGTGTGCAGAAGTAAATTATCTAGACCATTGAGGGAGAGTATCCAGTTTTTACACAGGCACATCAATTTGGATGTCTTGTTCTTTGCATACCACCATATTCTTAAGAAATCATACATATTTTTTTCTTGAGAAAAAAAAAATGGCTCTTGCCTTAAAATCAAATGGTGATTGTTGTAATGGCAGTGAAGATAATAGGAAGGTAATGGGAAGAAGTCTGAAATTACAGTCATCAATTGGTATGAAGCATGTTGACTTTATATCTTTTCCTGATATTGGGGATGTCATTTCTTTGGTGTCCTAAAGATAGTGATTTTTTTTTTAACTTTTTGAAAAATTGTATTAAAAAACCCCACAAAAACATAGACTTTTCACTTTAGTATGTGGTATGTTGAATTATCCAGTTTGTTCAGTGCCTTAAAGCTCAAGGATGCCTCTGCTTTCCATTATACATGGGCCTGAAGCATCCTAGCTTTTGGCCAGCAGGCAGAAGACTCAACAAAAATCAAAATAGGAACAAGGCAGGCTAAATGCAGGGCACATCTGTAAACATATACATTTGAAAATTACAATTATGAGTAAAAGTGATATAGCTTACAGTTGAAATAAATTATCTGCAACTGGCCTACCACAGGTTTCTGAACCTGGACTGATACAATAAGTTGAGATACACACACACACACACACACACACGTTTTGTTTATATCAAGTGGAATTAGCAATCCATGGTCATACTTTTAAAAAATCTAAGCAGGGCAGAAATCCAGATTAAAAAAAATATTTGCTCTACTCTAACACTGAGCCCAACAACTTCTTTCATGAACTACTTGCTAAGTTTTAATCAACAGAACAAGAAAACACATCCATACAGCAGTTGCTCAAAACTGGACATTTCTTAAGCAGAGGGGTAGAGCAAAATGAGTAGTTACTGTCTCCCGAAATATCCCCAGGGGATCCAGGCTACTTTTATAAGACTATGACTGTATAAATGCCCTGCTCTTTCAATCCATATTTGACATACATGGATATACTGTGTATGTATTTCTGTGTATGTGTGTGTTATGTGTGATGCTATGTCAGGCCAGAGAACTTGTTATTATGCCACTGACATCACTCAATCTTAAATTGGACCCTTACTTTCTTCACACATGCAAAAAGTTTATTTTAGCGTGCTCTACACAAGCTGCAGTGCAACAAACAGGATGATAATGTAATAAGACAGGGCTAATGCTCTTCTCTGACCAAAACAAAATTTCCAGAATTTCACATTATTTTTCCAAACAAATTTTGCTCTAGTAATAAAATATATTTATTAAGATATAATTAGAACCTAGTAAGCTCAGAAGTACAATTTGCATGAAAACACACCTCCTACTAGCAGGGTTTATTAACATCTCACTGGCTAAAAACATGAAGTTTTAATTCTTATGGGCTTTTTCCTTCCCTTTTTAGGTTTTGCTGAGAAATTAAAGAGAATTTATAGAAAGGTACATAGGTTTCTCTGATGTTTGATGAAAAAAATAAGAAAAACTGCACATTTAGTGTTAACAGCAGAGAGCAAGTCTGGAGCATCTACAGTTGAAAAGCAGAATATAGTTTTGTTCCCAGTTATACAATTACATTAAAATATGGGCAGAAGAATTTTATTCCATATCTAAGTCGATTGCTTGTTCTGAAACTTTAATATTCATGGATTCTTCAGTTGTTAAAAGTCCAGCATGTAACCAAAGCAAATTAACTATGTGCCCACCAACTATTCCAGAATTGTAGAACTTCAAGGTCCCCCTCTATTCCCACCCCATAAAAAATAAAAGGAAAGAAAATAT